ATGTGGACGCATCTAACCTGGACGCGTCGTAGCGTGGAAGCGTCGTAGCGTGGACGCCACACGCGTTTCAACGACAACTCGTCACACTCCGTTATCGTTGGGACCTTTTTGCCAGTGGCAATGAAAGCGTTGATGTTGAGGAGTCAAGTTACTCCATTAACCACGCAAGGTACTCGTGGTGCAAACACAAACATGGCTCTGACAATAATAATGATATTTGCATTGTCTCTTAAACTGATTGGCCTACACCAGAGACGGCAGCCTTCATCATGGCCTCGTTTCACCGCCAGTGTCACACCAGAGAATAACGCCAAAAGGGGAACGGTACAAGTACAATGCCACACGTAGCAGAGCATTCATAGCTCGGGGTGAACAGCTGTACCTTTTAATTCAAGTATTGTTATTGACGTCACTAACACTGGTCAACACACTTTTTCTGGCATAAGGTATTCCAACGGTTTTAATGTAATTTTGAGGTGCTGATTCCAAATCTGGCATCGTCGCACCAGGTTTTTGAGATATCAAATATTGCATTTTCAATAAAAACCGCAGAAGAAAAATATTAAATAAATGTGGATATCTACATAAAATGATATTATAAACACACTATCCTAAAAAGACAGCACCGTATTTTAACACTAAAGCAGTCACTGACTGGCAACAACTTGCAATCATAAGTGACAGAGTTAATTTCGGGTAAAATCAATGAAAATGGGGTATGCCGATAGCATAAAAATGAGATGTGATAGAGCAAATCTGAGATCAGGTTTGGAATCGGCACCCTGAAATTAGTCTAGAACAGCTGCAAAAGTCCAGGCCAGAAAAACATGTTTTTTGTTGTTTTTGACCTGTGTTATCGTTCTCTCTCCGTCTCTCTCTCTGTCTCTCTCTCTGTGTGTCTCTCTCTGTGTCTCCCTCCGTCTGTGCGTGTCTCAGGATCCCCGCAGCAAGCACCGCTTCAAGGCCCACACCTACGGCAGCCCCACGTTCTGTGACCACTGCGGCTCGCTGCTCTACGGCCTCATACACCAGGGGATGAAATGCGACAGTGAGTGATGCTCTCGCAGAGACGACACCAAAACTCCTCCGCACAGAAGGTCGAGAGTCGAACCCGGCTGACGGGGTGGGGTGGCGATGATCGCTGCTGGTGTGACTCCCACCGGGGTCATTGCACGTGGATAGTTCATTTTTTGTAAAAAAAAAATGTTTTACACGTAGGCTTTCGCGATCAATATTATTCATAATCAACGTTTTTGGGTTTAGATCGCGTTATTTATAAATGTCTCGTAACCCTCCACCACCCGACACGGCCAATCAGTAAAAAAGTGTCACGTTGACAAAAGACAAATAGTTCACTGCTTTAGCCCACCGGTGTGTTGAAGCGCGAAACCACAACATTTACACTTTGAGTACGACGTTTCGCTGGTAATTGCATCCAGCATCATCGCCAGAATTGCCCGATGATGCTGGATGCAATTACCAGCGAAACGTCGTACTACAAAAAAAATTGTAAATGTTGTGGTTTCACGCTTCAACACACCGTTGGGCTAAAGCAGTGAACTAATTTGTCTTTTGTCAACGTGACACTTTTTTACTGATTGGCCGTGTTGGGTGGTGGAGGGTTACGACACATTTATAAATAACGCGATCTAAACCCAAAAACGTTGATTATGAAAAAATGTTTTGTTGCCAAACTTGTCTACAATTCTTCACCGGCGAGGGCCATCGACAACCACCGTCTCCCTCCCACCCACCACCCACCCACCACCCCCCCACCCACCACCCCCCGTGTGGCACAGCCTGCGACATGAACGTGCACAAGCGCTGCGTGGTGATGGTGCCCAGCCTGTGCGGCATGGATCACACGGAGAGGCGTGGGCGGATTCGCATCGTCGCCGAAGTGACCAACGCCGAGAAGCTCGTGGTCAGCGGTGAGTTGATGACGATGATGACGATGATGACGATGATGATGATCACGACGATGATGATGATCACGATGATGATGATCATCACGATGATGATGGTGATCACGATGATGATGATCACGATGATGACAATGATGATAATGATCACGATGATGATGATCACGATGATGACTACGATGATGACGATGATGATGATGATCACGATGATGATGATCACCATGATGACTACGATGACGACGATGATGATGACTACGATGACGACGATGATGATGATCACGATGATGATGATCACGATGATGACTACGATGACGACGATGATGATGACGACGATGACGACGATTACGATGACGACGATGATGACGATGATGACGACAAAGAAGATGATGACGACGATGATCACGATAAAGATGATGACGACCACAATATGAATTTGATGTAGTCGACCTGGAACGCCGTGCCCGCAGAGACACCGCGACCACAGAGACACTGCAACCACAGAGACACCGTGGAGGGGAGTGGAGTGAGATGGGAGGGGAGAGGCATGAGAGTGCGTGGAGAGGAGTGGAGTGAGATGAGAGGGGAGAGGCAGGAGAGTGCGTGGAGGGGAGTGGAGTGAGATGAGAGGGGAGAGGCAGGAGAGTGCGTGGAGGGGAGTGGAGTGAGATGGGAGGGGAGAGGCATGAGAGTGCGTGGAGGGGAGTGGAGTGAGATGAGAGGGGAGAGGCAGGAGAGTGCGTGGAGGGGAGTGGAGTGAGATGAGAGGGGAGAGGCAGGAGAGTGCGTGGAGGGGAGTGGAGTGAGATGAGAGGGGAGAGGCAGGAGAGTGCGTGGAGGGGAGTGGAGTGAGATGGGAGGGGAGAGGCAGAAGAGTGCGTGGAGGGGAGTGGAGTGAGATGAGAGGGGAGAGGCAGGAGAGTGCGTGGAGGGGAGTGGAGTGAGATGAGAAGGGAGAGGCAGGAGAGTGTGTGGAGGGGAGTAGAGTGAGATGAGAGGGAGAGGCAGGAGAGTGCGTGGAGGGGAGTGGAGTGAGATGGGAGGGTGAGGCAGGAGAGTGCGTGGAGGGGAGTGGAGTGAGATAGGAGGGGAGAGGTAGGAGAGTGCGTGGAGGGGAGTGGAGTGAGATGAGAGGGGAGAGGTAGGAGAGTGCATGGAGGGGAGTGGAGTGAGATGAGAGGCATGAGAGAGCGTGGAGTGGAGTCAGATTAGAGATGAGAGGTAGGAGAGTGAGGGGAGTGAGATGAGAGGCGAGGTTTTCTCCACTCGCACCTGACTCTCATGCCACACGCATTGGGTGACGTTTGGTCGAATCTATGAAAAATGGCGGCTCCAGCGCTGTGTCTGTGATTGTCAACGCGCTACTGCCACCTGGCGGTGCGTCTGGACGTGGCAATGCTCTCGACGGCACCAGGGACCCGTTTCGTGGAAGACAACTTTTTTCACGGACCAGGGGGGGTGGGGGGGGTTCATAATTGGGTCTTTCCCCCTTTCCAAAGAAGCTCTCCAGCAACGTTTGTTTTTTCTACTCATTGTGGCCAGGGGTTAGCAGCTTGCAGAGGTCGCAAACGGGTTTTGATTTCTTACCCGTACCCTTACCCGGCCGCACCAGGGTCGCAAATGTGTACCCGTACCCGGCCGGGTACGGGTACTCATTCCGTACCCGTACCCTACCCGAAATGAGTGACAAACGGTTACTCACCAGTGACTCACGGCCTACCCGTACCCGTACCCGGCCACACCAGGGTCGCAAACAGGTACCCGTACCCGGCTGGGTACGGGTAGCCGGGTATCGGGTAGGGTACGGGTATCGGGTACCCGATTGCGACCTCTGGCAGCTTGTGGGCTTCCCAAAACTGTGACTGAGGCAGTGTGGGAAAGAGACACGGACGGAAGTGGTCAATAAAATAATAGGGGCGGGCCACGCGCGGACTAAATTAAGTGTGGGATTCTGACTTCTCATAAGGAGCGACCAACCTAGATCCCTCGCACGCGCAGTTTACACAGTAGGGTTCGCGCTGCGATGAGAATCTAATGCCGCCGCTGATCTGACAGGAGGCGGCGCTCAGACGGCAATGCGAGCCATGGGAAGCGGCTGTCAATACAGATGACGAAGCTTCGCTCGCTCGCCCACCGCTCCACCTCCTGCTGTGCGGCCCGGTTCCTAACAGGCCACGGAGCGGTGACGTTCCGTGGCCCGGGGGGTTGGGGACCCCTGGTCTAGAGGGTTGCTGCTGTACGGCAATCGACTTAACCGCGATGTTGCTGCTACTCGCAGCCAGTGTAGAGATTCGTACATTACGTTGTTAGTTATTTGTTGGCAGAGGGGGAGGGGTGGTGGTTGTTAGGCCACCACGACATGATCCGGCCAAATTTGTGCCGTCGAATGAGTGGGTTAGTGAGATGGCGGTTGAGTGGGTGAACAAGTGGGTTAGTGAGGTGGTGGGTGGGTGAGTGGGTGAATGAGTGGGTTAGTGAGATGGTGGGTGGGTGAGTGGGTGAATGAGTGGGTTAGTGAGATGGTGGGTGGGTGGGTGAATGATTGTGTTAGTGAGGTGGTGGGTGGGTGAGTGTGTAAATGAGTGGGTTAGTGAGATGGTGGGTGGGTGAGTGGGTGAATGAGTGGGTTAGTGAGATGGTGGGTGGGTGAGTGGGTGAATGAGTGGGTTAGTGAGATGGTGGGTGGATGAGTGGATGAATGAGTGGGGTAGTGAGAAGGTGGGTTAGTGGGTGAATGAGTGTGTTTGTGAGATGGTGCATGGGTGAGTGAGTGGGTGAGTGAGTGTGTTAGTGAGATGGTGGGTCGGTGAGTGGTTGAATAATTGTGTTCGTTAGATGGTAGGTGGGTGAGTGGATGAATAAGTGTTAGTGAGATGGTAGGTGGGTGAGCGGGTAAATGAGTGGGTTAGTGAGATGGTGGGTGGGTGGGTGAGTGTGTGAATGAGTGTGTTCGTGAGATGGTGGGTGGGTGAGCGGGTAAATGAGTGGGTTAGTGAGATGGTGGGTGGGTGGGTGAGTGAGTGACTGTGTGAATGAGTGTTTTAGTGAGATGGTGGGTGGGTGAGTGGGTGAATGAGTGTGTTCGTGAGATGGTGGGTGGGTGGGTGAGTGTGTGAATGAGTGTGTTCGTGAGATGGTGGGTGGGTGAGCGGGTAAATGAGTGGGTTAGTGAGATGGTGGGTGGGTGAGTGTGTGAATGAGTGTGTTCGTGAGATGGTGGGTGAGTGTGTGAATGAGTGTGTTCGTGAGATGGTGGGTGAGTGGGTGAATGAGTGTGTTAGTGAGATGGTGGGTGGATGGGTGAGCGGGTAAATGAGTGTGTTAGTGAGATGGTGGGTGGATGAATGAGTATGTTAGTGAGATGGTGGGTTTAGTGGGTGAATGAGTGTGTTAGTGAGATGGTGGATGAGTGGGTGAATGAGTGTGTTAGTGAGATGGTGGATGAGTGTGTTAGTGAGATGGTGGGTGGGTGGGTGAGTGGGTGAATGATTGTGTTAGTGAGATGGTGAGTGGGTGAGTGGGTGAATGAGTGGGTTAGTGAGATGGTGGGTGGGTGAGTGGGTGAATGATTGTGTTAGTGAGATGGTGGGTGGATGGGTGAGTGGGTGAATGAGTGTGTTCGTGAGATGGTGGGTGAGTGGGTGAATGAGTGTGTTAGTGAGATGGTGGGTGGGTGGGTGAATGAGTGTGTTAGTGAGATGGTGGGTGAGTGGGTGAATGGGTGTGTTAGTGAGATGGTGAGTGAGTGGGTGAATGAGTGTGTTAGTGAGATGGTGGGTGAGTGGGTGAATGGGTGTGTTAGTGAGATGGTGGGTGAGTGGGTGAATGAGTGTGTTAGTGAGATGGTGGGTGAGTGGGTGAATGGGTGTGTTAGTGAGGTGGTGGGAGGGTGAGTGGGTGGGTGGGGGTGAGTTTGTTAGTGAGATGGTGGGTGGGTGAGTGGTTGTGGGTGAGTTTGTTAGTGAGATGGTAGGTGGGTGAGTGGGTGAATGAGTGTGTTTGTGAGATGGTGGGTGGGTGAGTGGGTGGGGATGAGTGTGTTAGTGAGATGGTGGGTGGGTGAGTGTGTGGGTATGAGTGTATTAGTGAGATGGTGGGGTTGGTGAGTGGGTGGGGGTGAGTATTTTAGTGAGATGGTGGGTGGGTGAGTGGGTGGGGGTGAGTGTGTTAGTTAGATCGTGGGTGGGTGAGTGGGTGGGTGAATGAGTGTTAGTGAGATGGTGATTGAATGGCTAAATTCTTGATGAGTGAGTGGAGTTCAAGGTTAAAGTTCAGACCAGGATAGGAGTTTCCATTTTCCAGAGCGACCCCGGGTCACCAAAATAACCAAAGGCAATCGAAATCAGAAACGTTATTTTTTGTGACTGCAGGAGGAATCCGATGAGCCACTCATAAACTATTAAACAACTTTTTTATTTTTTTACTCTACCGGGTGTAAGGCCGCGTCCGATCTACGTCGCTCGTTTTCAGAAGCGCCGATCTGGCTGTCACAAGTGAACACTCGACCAAGTGGCACATCATCATCACCACCACGTGGCAATTTACAGCAGCAGCCCAATGCTCTGAAGCGCGTTGATTATTGATGTGGAGGGGAAACCCCGGAAGAGCCCGCAGACAAATCCACGCCACCACGAAGAGAGATATAGAGACACGCTGACTTCAAATATAGAGCAAGCGTCAGGGGTCGGAATCGGTCTCCTGCGAATCGGGCGAGGTAGTTAACATCTCCTAGCTACCGTGATGATGATGATGATGATGAGAAAAAGAGACACGCAAACTCCAAATATACAGCAGCAGTCGTCAGGGGTCGTGAACTCACGACCTCCTGCATACCAGGCGAGGGAGTTAACATCTCCTATCCACCGTGATGATGTTGAGAGTGAGAGAGACACGCAAACTCCAAATATTACAGCAGCAGGCGTCATGGTCGGAAAAAACCCACGACCTCCTGTACACCAGGCGAGGTAGTTAACATCTCCTAGCTACCATGATGATGATGATGATGATAAAGAGAGACACGCAAACTCCAAATATAGAGCAGCAGACGTCAGGGGTCGCGAACCCACGACCTCCTGCGTACCAGTCGAGGTAGTTAACATCTCCTAGCCACCGTGATGCTGTTGAGAGAGAGAGACACGCAAACTCCAAATATTACAGCAGCAGGCGTCAGGGGTCGGGATTGAAACCCAGGACGAGCTCGGAGACACGGGGTCAGCACAGTTACAAGAGCAACACACAATACAGGGACCCCTCTACTTACGAACGAGTTCGGTTCCAGAGGACTCTTCGTAAGTCCAAGTTCGCTCCCATCAATTACAAACATGTTGCACGGCGTGGCTTTTAAAGTTGTGTGATCTCCTGCGGTTATAGATGCCACTGGTTCTTCACGTTCTGCAGATGTAGATGCCACTGGTTCTTCACGTTCTGCAGATGTAGATGCCACTGGTTCTTCACGTTCTGCAGATGTAGATGCCACTGGTTCTTCACGTTCTGCAGATGTAGATGCCACTGGTTCTTCACGTACTGCAGATGTAGATGCCACTGGTTCTTCACGTTCTGCAGATGTAGATGCCACTGGTTCTTCACGTTCTGCAGATGTAGATGCCACTGGTTCTTCACGTACTGCAGATGTAGATGCCACTGGTTCTTCACGTTCTGCAGATGTAGACGCCACTGATTCTTCACGTTCTACAGATGTAGATGCCACTGGTTCTTCACGTTCTGCAGATGTAGATGCCACTGGTTCTTCACGTACTGCAGATGTAGATGCCACTGGTTCTTCACGTTCTGTAGATGTAGATGCCACTGGTTCTTCACGTTCTGCAGATGTAGATGCCACTGGTTCTTCACGTTCTGCAGATGTAGATGCCACTGGTTCTTCACGTTCTGCAGATGTAGATGCCACTGGTTCTTCACGTTCTGCAGATTTAGATGCCACTGGTTCTTCACGTACTGCAGATTTAGATGCCACTGGTTCTCCACGTTCTGCAGATGTAGATGCCACTGGTTCTCACGTCTGCAGATGTAGATGCCACTGGTTCTTCACGTTCTGCAGATGTAGATGCCACTGGTTCTTCACGTACTGCAGATGTAGATGCCACTGGTTCTTCACGTTCTGCATATGTAGATGCCATTGTTCTTCACGTTCTGCAGATGTAGACTGCCACTGGTTATTCACTTCTGCAGATGTAGATGCCACTGGTTCTTCACCATTCTGCAGCCACTGGTTCTTCACATTCTGCAGATGTAGACGCCACTGGTTCTTCACGTTCTGCAGATGTAGATGCCACTGGTTCTTCACATTCTGCAGATGTAGACGCCACTGGTTCTTCACGTTCTGCAGATGTAGACGCCACTGATTCTTCACGTTCTGCAGATGTAGATGCCACTGGTTCTTCACGTTCTGCAGATGTAGATGCCACTGGTTCTTCACGTTCTGCAGATGTAGATGCCACTGGTTCTTCACGTTCTGCAGATGTAGATGCCACTGGTTCTTCACGTTCTGCAGATGTAGATGCCACTGGTTCTTCACGTTCTGCAGATGTAGATGCCACTGGTTCTTCACGTTCTGCAGATGTAGATGCCACTGGTTCTTCACGTTCTGCAGATGTAGATGCCACTGGTTCTTCACGTCTGCAGATGTAGATGCCACTGGTTCTTCACGTTCTGCAGATGTAGATGCCACTGGTTCTTCACGTTCTGCAGATGTAGATGCCACTGGTTCTTCACGTTCTGCAGATGTAGATGCCACTGGTTCTTCACGTTCTGCAGATGTAGATGCCACTGGTTCTTCACGTTCTGCAGATGTAGATGCCACTGGTTCTTCACGTTCTGCAGATGTAGATGCCACTGGTTCTTCACGTTCTGCAGATGTAGATGCCACTGGTTCTTCACGTTCTGCAGATGTAGAGGCCACTGTTTCTTCACGTTCTGTAGATGTAGATGCCACTGGTTATTCACGTTCTGCAGATGTAGATGCCACTGGTTCTTCACGTTCTGCAGATGTAGATGCCACTGGTTCTTCACGTTCTGTAGATGTAGATGCCACTGGTTCTTCACGTTCTGCAGATGTAGACTGCCACTGTTCTTCACGTTCTGTAGATGTAGATGCCACTGGTTCTTCACGTTCTGCAGATGTAGATGCCACTGGTTCTTCACGGTTCTGCAGATGTAGATGCCACTGGTTCTTCACGTTCTGCAGATGTAGATCCACTGGTTCTTCACGTTCTGCAGATGTAATTGCCACTGTTCTTCACGTTCTGCAGATGTAGATGCCACTGGTCCACTGGTTCTTCACGTTCTGCAGATGTAGATACCACTGGTTCTTCACGTTCTGTAGATGTAGATGCCACTGGTTCTTCATGTTCTGCAGATGTAGATGCCACTGGTTCTTCACGTTCTGCAGATGTAGATGCCACTGGTTCTTCACGTTCTGCAGATGTAGATGCCACTGGTTCTTCACGTTCTGCAGATGTAGATGCCACTGGTTCTTCACATTCTGCAGATGTAGATGCCACTGATTCTTCACGTTCTGCAGATGTAGACGCCACTGATTCTTCACGTTCTACAGATGTAGATGCCACTGGTTCTTCACGTTCTGCAGATGTAGATGCCACTGGTTCTTCACGTTCTGCAGATGTAGATGCCACTGGTTCTTCACGTTCTGCAGATGTAGATGCCACTGATTCTTCACGTTCTGCAGATGTAGATGCCACCACCGCCATCTATTGCGCGGCGGTTGAACTTACGACTCTCGCTCCGAACGGGCAACTGGACATACGGGGAGGGCAGGTTTGTTGGTATCTCTGAAAGTCGAATGTTTTTAAGTCGAGGTGCTATAATAACAGCTCGATAGGGGGGGGGGGGGGTGTGCAAAATAATAAAATTAAGCACAGTGAAGCAAATTAGCAATCGGCCCAAAAAAGACTGCCGCACGACGGGTGAGTCTCTCTCCCGTCGTGCGGCAGTCTTTGTGTGCATGTATGCACCCAGCCACCGCATGCCTAAACAGCTTTTGTTCGGCCGGATCGAGGGGGATAAACGGGCGCGGCACGGGGCTAGAGAAGAGATGGAGTGATTGTGGTACAGGAGGACGTGGAGCTGAGTGGACTTGCTGATTAATGGTACCAGCGGTGTCAAGATCGGCCTCTGTGGAGGATAATCGGGTGTCGCGATTTGTCTCCATTGCAGTGAAGGAAGCCAAGAACCTGATCCCCATGGACCCCAACGGGCTCTCTGACCCCTACGTGAAGCTGAAGCTGACCCCCGACCCCAAGAGCGAGAGCAAGCAGAAGACCAAGACCATCAAGGCGAACCTGAACCCCGTGTGGGAGGAGCACTTCACCTTGTGAGTGCCGGCGTCGTGGCCCGGACCCTTACACGCTCGCGTGCACACACACACACGCGCACACACCCACGTACAAAGACAAAGACAAAGATCCTCCGTATAGCCTGAACAGACTGTAGGGGCAAGTGCTGTTAGCGAGCACCTATGAAGACCGGAACGGTACACGAGGGGGTGGGTGGCCAGCACCACGCCCGACCGCCTTTGTCTCCCTAGTGGCAATGTTTACACACCGCACCAGGTACTCATTTAAGGCTGAGTCGACCTAGGGGAGGCCCAGGACCGGTTCAGATAATCGTCACTGGTGTTAGCCGTGAGCGGGAATCGAACCCGGGTCGCCAGGTTCATAGCGCAGCGCGCTAACCGCTACACTACCGCTCCCCACATCACCCACGTACACACGCACACACACACGTACACACACATACACACGTACACACACATACACACACACACATGCGCACACACACACGTACAGAACACACACGCACACACACACATACACAAACACATACACACGTACAGAACACATACACACACGTACACACACGCACACACACGTACACGCACGCACACACACGCACACACACGCACACACACGCTCGCGTGCGCACACACACGCACACACACACGTACAGAACAGGTACATGTACACATACACACGCACACACATGTACAGAACACGTACATGTACACATATACACACACGCGCACGTACAGAACACATACACACACGCGTACGTACACGTATGTACACGTACGTACACACACGTACACACACGTACACACACAAAACACGTACACACACATACGTATGCACGCGTACACACACGTACACGCACGCACACGCGCACACACATACACACGTACACATACATACACACGTACACACACATACGTATGCACGCGTACACACACACACATACACACGTTCAGAACACGTAAACGTACAACAACAACCGCCATTCGCCACTAAGTGGCGGTGACATCACCACGACGCTTGTGCCAGGCCATGTGCACCTTGAGGCCATGTGAAGTGTCGAACGCCCACTGGCAGGTCACGGGGCAGACCCAGGTGCCACGGGTCGACTGACCGAGATAACCGAGATGACTGGCTGATGCACCACCTGTGCCCCCTACTGTGCCAACTTGCTGGGCTTTAGCCACCCGGCGCTCCGCTCGTTGTTGTGAGCGTCGCTCCTCCGCCCTCCGTTGTTGTTGGAGGGCGACTGCCTCCAACTGCCCAGTAGCGTCCTTCACGAGCCTCCTCCACAGAGGCCGATCTTGACACTGCTGGTACCAGTCATCGGCAAGTCCACTCAGCTCCACGTCCTCCTGTACCACATCACTCCATCTCTTCTCTAGCCCGTGCCGCGCCCGTTTAGCCCAGCCTGGAGCAAGCTGCCGCCCAGCCTGGCGAACAGTGGTTGAAGCCCCGTGCACCCCCCCCCCCCCCCCCCCCACTGCATGCGTCTCGCCACCCTGCCCCCCCCGCCCCCCCCGCCCCCCCCCGCCCCCAGCAAGCTGAAGCCGACGGACATCGACCGCCGTCTCTCTATCGAGGTGTGGGACTGGGACCGTACCACCCGCAACGACTTCATGGGCGCGCTCTCCTTCGGCGTCTCGGAGCTCCTCAAGGCGCCCGCCAACGGCTGGTGAGTTCCCCGCCCGCGACGTCGTCTGAACTCAGCGCCTCGGCGGCCAAAAGCGACGGGATTTTTTTTTTTTTTTCCGGTTGAGAAACAAAAAGCCGCCTCTCAAAATCGAACCCCGACTGCGTTTGCCGGCACCTCGCCGCGTATCTCCGAGTCCGGGCATTTGGCGAATTTTGGGTGGCCACCAGAAATGGTTCCGTTTGAACGTCGCCGCGGATTTTTTGTTTCCCCGACAACGTCTCTTTGTCGGGAACAGTGCAAAGGTGACGGGTGACCGGCAAGGGTTGCCGGCGGATGGCTTCACGCAGCCGCGCGCCTGCCAATTCCTCTCATTGTAATGTTCGTGACGGCTGCGTGAGGTCACGTCGGGGACACAAAGGTGACCGCGCTGGGCCGTGGCGTTCCACCCCACCGCCCCCCTGCTCGCTACTCGCTCAACGGCACGCGCCCCAGATGGCGTGTGAAGCCTATAACGTGGTACGGGGTGCGGGGGGGGGGGGGGGGTCGGAGATCTTTGTCACTTCTTCGTGCCCGTGGCGCAGGTACAAGCTGCTGAGCCAGGAGGAGGGGAGTACTACAACGTGCCCATCGCTCCCGACATCGAGGATGGAGACACCGAGATGCGCCGCAAGTTTGAGGTGGGTGGTGGTGGGGGAGAGGTGGGGTGGGCAGGTGGGCGGGGGGGGGGGAGCTTTGCTCTATTTGAGGCTCAGAAAAACCACGGCTAAGTAACGGCGAAAGTTCTCTCTCTGGGATGCCGGAATTCCAAGATCGGGTGGGGGGTCATTGCTGGCTGCATCGAAAGCCTGGACCCAAAGAAAGAGAGACAGGGTGACCATCGCAGGAGTTCCATTGAAAGGCTGCAACGTAGAGGAGGAGGAAGACGATGCTGGTGGCGCACGCACGCGGCGATGAGGTGGAAATGAAACAGGTGGCGCTCCTTGGACGCGCGCGTGGATTCGGACGGACCACAACGGGACCGAATTAGAAGCGTCTCGTCGTCGTCGTTGTCGATTTTGTTGTTGTTCGAGAGAAATGGAAGGAACCGCAGAGAGACCGCAGAGAGAGACAGAGGAAATGAAATCACCCGCTTCTCTGTGGGTGCCGCTCCCCATCGAATGAGGGGCGCAGACTCAAGAATGTCGGCAGTAGCGGCATCTGTCCAGCGGGTGGACGAAGTAACGCGTGAGAAGCAAGCGATTACTGCGGCCCGTTTCCTCTCGGCGCCGCGTCGCGCTCTCCTCCGCCGTGTTCCATCGCTGCCCGTTCTCGCGGTGCGACACGCGGTGGCGGTGTTGCAGCGTCCCCACACTCGATTGGGTCTTTCGGTAAAGTCACGTGGATAGGTTCAGAAAAATTCCGACAAAAATTGCACCCTCACTCCCACCCACCCACCTCTCTCTCCTCCTCTTCCTCCCCCCCTGCTCCCCTCTCTCTCCTCTTCCTCCTCCTTCTCATCCTCCCCTCCCTCCTCCCCCCTCCCTCCTCTTCCCCCCCTCTCTCCTCCCCCCTCCCTCCCGTTCTCATCTCCCCTTTATCCTCCCCCCTCCCTCCTCCTTCTCATCCCCCCCTCTCTCCTCCCCCCTCCCTCCCATTCTCATCCCCCCCTCTCTCCTCCCCCCTCCTTCTCATCCCCCCTCTCTCCTCCCCCCTCCCTCATCCCCCCTCCCTCCTTCCCACCTCCCCCCTCCCTCCTTCCCTCCTCCCCCCTACTCTCCTCCCCCCTCCCTCCTCCTTCTCATCCTCCCCACTCTCCTCCCCCCCCCCCAAATTTGTCTTTTTTTTTTTACCTATGTGACTTTACCGAAAGACCCAAAGAATAGTAATTATTGTGGTCACAAAAGCTTTATGTCAAGATTTTGCAGCGTCCCTTCAACCGCTAGTCCCCCCCCCCCCCCACTCCTCTCCTACTCTTCAACATTTGACTCCCTTCTCCACGTTGGCTGGTCACCACGATCCACCTCGAGCGTGGGGGATCAGATGATTAATTCACTATGTAACACGATTTTTTTTCATGGGTAGTAAGTGTTATTTTCTTTTTATTGCTTATGCCTCTAAAGAATATAAAACGGCAATTATTCCCCACAAACTTTGCTTTTGTGACCAGGGCTTTACGTGAAGGAATGGCACAAATGCACACGTCACGTTTTCTCATTCAAAATAAGTACATTTCAAAATATCACTGTCCTGGTCACAAAAGCAAAGTTTGTGGGGGAACAATAGCCGTTTTCTGCACTTTTGAAGCATGAGCAATTCGGAAATAACATTTACTACCCAGGAACGAAACATGTGAATATGTTTTTGTTACACAGTGAATTATTTATCTGGAAGGGTGGCCGGGCAGCTTCCTCCGGAGGTCAGAGGGGGGAACGCTGCCGAGCCGGTTCGCATCCAGGATAGGGCCACTGCTGCTGCTACTGCTGCCACTGCTGCTGCCACTGCTGCTGCCACTGCTGCTACTACTGCTACTGCTATTGCCGCTGCTGCTGCTACTGCTCCTGCCACTGCTACTGCCACTGCTGCTGCTGCCACTGCCGCTGCTGCTGCCGCTGCTGCTGCTGCCACTGCTGCTGCTGCTACTGCCCTGCTACTGCTGCCACTGCCGCTGCTGCTGCCGCTGCTGCTGCCACTGCTACTGCCGCTGCCGCTGCTGCTGCCGCTGCTGCTGCTGCTGCCGCTGCTGCTGCCACTGCTACTGCTGCCGCCGCTGCTGCTGCCGCTGCTGCTGTCGCTGCTGCTGCTGCTGCTACTGCTGCTGCTACTGCTGCCGCTGCTGCTGCCACTGCTACTGCTGCCGCCACTGCTGCTGCCGCTGCTGCTGCCACTGCTACTGCTGCTGCCGCTGCTGCTGCCGCTGCTGCTGCTGCCGCTGCTGCTGCCGCTGCTGCTGCTGCTGCTGCCGCTGCTGCTGCCACTGCTACTGCTGCTGCCGCTGCTGCTGCCGCTGCTGCTGCTGCCGCTGCTGCTGCCGCTGCTGCTGCTGCCGCTGCTGCTGCTGCGACTGCTGCTGCTGCTGCTGCTACTGCCGCTGCTGCTGCCGCTGCTGCCACCCGTTGTTTCAAGCGCGTTTTGAAGTTTTCGTGACTGCAAGGATTCATACTCTGGTTTTTTCGGTAAAGTCACGTAGGTAGAAAGTTTAAATAAATAAAATCACGACGTTTCGGGCGCAACACAAGCATCCTTCTTCAGGTGGGGACAACTTAGCGAAAGCAGACGTGGTGTGATTTAATTTATTTACATTTTTTACCTACGTGACTTTACCGAAAAGACCAAAGATTGTGTGTTCTCACGTGCGGGGAATTCATGGTCTCGGCCCGGTAGCCCAGCGATTTACGTAGAGACGCGTGGACTTATTACGTAGAAACCCGTAGACTCGCACGGAGACCCATGGACTCATACAGAGATCTGTAGACATACATTGAGACCCGTAGACTCACACAGACCAGTGGACTCACACGGAGACCTATGGACTCATACAGAGATCTGTAGACATACATCGAGACCCGTAGACTCACACAGACCAGTGGACTCACACGGAGACCTATGGACTCATACAGAGATCTGTAGACATACATTGAGACCCGTAGACTCACACAGAGACCCGTGGACTCGCACGGAGACCCATGGACTCATACAGAGATCTGTAGACATACATCGAGACCCGTAGACTCACACAGACCAGTGGACTCACACGGAGACCTATGGACTCATACAGAGATCTGTAGACATACATTGAGACCCGTAGACTCACACAGAGACCCGTGGACTCGCACAGAGACCCATGGACTCATACAGAGATCTGTAAACATACATAGAAACCCATAGACTCACATGGAGACCCATAGACTCACACAGATACCCATAGTCTCACACAGACACCCATACACTCTATAAAAACTAAAAATTCATAAATATTTGTTTTATTTTAGCAGGGTAAGGCCCCTCTGAGCTATGTAGTAGCTCCTTTTGAGCAGCGATCACCTGGCCTATCACAACACGATAGCTCAACGAAGTGGGGTCACGTATGTAAATGTACAGCAGCCAAATACTCTAAGCACGTGACGTTGATTCTAAACGTGGATGGGAAAAAACGGAGGTCCCGGAGAAAAATCCACGTGTCCATGGGGAGAGAGAGGAAGTCACGCCAAACTCCAAATATACAGCAGCAGCATGCGTCGTCAGTGTCGGGATCGAACCCACGACATCCTGTATACCAGGCGAGGTAGTTAACATCTCCTAGCCACCGTGATGATGATGATGAGAGAGAGACATGCCGACTCCAAATGTACAGCAGGCATCAGGGTTGGGATAGAACCCACGACCTCCTGTGCACCTGGCGAGGTAGTTAACATCTCCTAGCCCCCGTGATGATGATGAGAGAGAGACACGCCGACTGCAAATGTACAGCAGGCGTCAGGGTTGGGATAGAACCCACGACCTCCTGTGCACCAGGCGAGGTAGTTAACATCTCCTAGCCCCCGTGATGATGATGAGAGAGAGACATGCCGACTCCAAATGTACAGCAGGCGTCAGGGTTGGGATAGAACCCACGACCTCCTGTGCACCAGGCGAGGTAGTCAACATCTCCTAGCCACCGTGATGATGATGATGATGAGAGAGACATGCAAACTCCAAATATACAGCAAGCATCGTCGGGGTCGGGATCGAACCCATGACCTCCTGTACACCAGGCGAGGTAGTTAACATCTCCTAGCCACCGTGATGATGGTGAGAGAGAGAGGCACGCACACTCCAAATATATAGCAGTCATCGTCGGGGTCGGGATCGAACCCACGAACTCCTGTGCACCAGGCGAGGTAGTCAACATCTCCTAGCCACCGTGATGATGATGATGCTGTTGATGTTGTACGTGTTATCGTTAATGCCGATTGTTGACGGTAATGTTGCTGTTGATTTTGTTAATGTTGATGTTAATTGTGATGTGGATGTTGATGGTGTTGACGATGTTGATGTTGTTCATGATGTTGCTGATGTTTTTGATGATGTGGATGTCGTTGTTGTTAATGTTGTTGATATCGCTGATGTTAATGTTGTTGATGTTGTTCACGATGATGTTGTTCATGTTCTTGATGATGTTGTTGATGTTTTTGATGATGTTGATGTTAATGTTGTTGTTGATGTAAATGTTGTTGTTGATGTCAATGTTGTTGATATTGCTGATGTCAATGTTGTTTAAGTTGTGAATGATGTTGTTGATGTTGTTCACGATGATGTTGTTCATGTTTTTGATTATGTTGTTGTTGATGTTCATGTAAATGTTGTTGATATCGCTGATGTTAATGTTGTTGATGTTGTTTAATTTGTGAATTATGTTGCTGGTGTTGTTCATGATGATAATGTTGAAGATGATGATGTTGTTGTTGTTGTTGATGTTGTTTAAGTTGTGAATTATGTTAATGTTGTTCATGATCTTGATGGTGTTGATGTTAATGTTGTTTAAGTTGTGAATAATGCTGTTTATGTTGTTCATGATTATGTTGTTGTTGTTCATAATGTTGATGATGATGATGGTGTTGATGTTAATATTGCTGCTTATGTTAATGTTGTTGATGTTGTTGATGTTGTTTAGGTTGTGAATGATGTTGTTGATGTTGTTTGTGATGACGTTGATGTTGTTCATAATGTTGATGATGTTGTTGTTGATGTTGTTTATGATGAAATTGATGTTGTTTAAGTTGTGAATAATGTTGTTCATGATTATGTTGTTGTTGTTCATAATGTTGATGATGATGATGGTGTTGATGTTCATATTGCTGCTTATGTTAATGTTGTTGATGTTGTTGATGTTGTTGATGTTGTTGATGTTGTTTAGGTTGTGGATGATGTTGTTGATGTTGTTCGTGATGACGTTGATGTTGTTTATAATGTTGATGATGATGTTGTTGATGTTGTTTATGATGAAGTTGATGTTGTTTAAGTTGTGAACAATGTTGTCCATGATGATGTTGACGTTGTTGTTGTGATGTTGTTTATGATGTTTAAGTTGTGAATCATGTTGTCCATGATGATGTTGACGTTGTTGTTGTGATGTTGTTTATGATGTTTAAGTTGTGAATCATGTTGTCCATGATGATGTTGACGTTGTTGTTGTGATGTTGTTTATGATGTTTAAGTTGTGAATAATGTTGTCCATGATGATGTTGACGTTGTTGTTGCGATGTTGACGACGACGCCGCTGTCCTCGCCGTGTCCAGAAAGCTCGCCTGGGCCCCAGCGTGAAGCCGCGTGGGTCTGACGAGCGGCGTGCCAACAGCCTCTCGGCCATCCTCAACAACGCCAACGTGGACCGCGTCAAGGCGGACGACTTCAACTTCCTCATGGTGCTGGGCAAGGGCAGCTTCGGCAAGGTGGGGCCTCCTCCCTCCCCTCTCTCTCTCTCTCCCTCCCTCCCCTCCTCCCTTCACTCCCTCCCTCCTCTCTCCCTCCCTCCTCCCCTCCCCTCCTCCTCTTCCTACCCTCCCTCCCTCCCTCCCCCCTCCCTCTCTCCCTCCCCTCCCCTCCCCCCTCCCCTCCCTCCCCCCACTCCCTTCCCTCCACTCCCCTCCCTCCCCTACCCTCCCCTCCCCCCTCCCCTCCTTCCCTCCTTTTTTTTTAAAACGATCAGACGAGAAAGATGCTCAGTCTTTCGGCACTTTACTTCGTTCATCATGTCGTTTGTTTGTATTTTTCTTTTAATCAAAGATTTTACGCGAGTTTCCCGTGTAACATTAGTCCCATTGTGTGTTACGGTGTTCATAGACACCAACAAGAAAACAAATCATCCTCAAAATACCCATCACCAGATCCCCTGCTGCTGCGCTACCAGCACCATAGCGGCGAAAGGCAACTGCCTGACCTCCCTCCCCCTCCCTCCCTCCCTCCCTCCCTCCCTCCCTCCCTCCCTCCCTCCCTCCCTCCCTCCCTCCCTCCCTCCCTCTCTCCCTCCACTCCCTCCTCCCCCTTCCCTCCTTCTCACCCCCCCCTACTCCTACCTCCCTCCTCTCCCCTTCCTCCACTCCCTCCCCCTTCCCCTCCCTCCCCCCTCCCCTCCCTCCCTCCCCCCCTCCACTCCCCTCCCTCCCTCCACTCCCCTCCCTCCCCTTCCTCCCCCCTCTTCCCTTCTCACTCTTCCTCCTGCTTCTCATCCCCCCCTCCCACCTTCCCTCCTCCCCCTCCCTCCTACTTCTCATCCCCCCCTCTCTCCTCACTTCTTCCCTCCCTCCCCCCTTCGCCCCATCTCCCGACTTCCCTCCCCCCTCCCTCCTCCCTCCTCGTATATAGATCTATAAATACAGGGTGTTTTAAAAGATGGACCCAATATCAAAGTAGTACTGCTTTGAAATTGTGTCCATCTTTTTGAAACACCCTGTTTATTGCAAGGCGCTTTACAAGAATCATGAGATTGTACATAACATGACAGTGGTGGAGATAACGAAGAGTGGTGGTTGTTGTTGTTGTTATTACAAGTGGTGGTAGTGTAGTTACGGTGATAGTAGGACAGGCGGGAGTGGTTACGGTGAGGTGTTGGTAGGTGTGGTTATAGGGGTAGTGATAGGGGTAGTGATAGGGGTAGTGATAGGGGTAGTGATAGGGGTAGTGATAGGGGTAGTGATAGGGGCAGTAGTAGGGATAGTGGTAGGGGGTAGTGATAGGGGTAGTGATAAGGGTAGTGGTAGGGGTAGTGGTAGGGGTAGTGGTAGGGGTAGTGATAGGGGTAGTGATAGGGGCAGTAGTAGGGATAGTGGTAGGGGGTAGTGATAGGGTAGTGATAGGGGTAGTGGTAGGGGTAGTGATAGGGGCAGTAGTAGGGATAGTGGTAGGGGGTAGTGATAGGGGTAGTGGTAGGGGTAGTGGTAGGGGTAGTGGTAGGGGTAGTGATAGGGGTAGTGATAGGGGTAGTGGTAGGGATAGTGGTAGGGGGTAGTGATAGGGGTAGTGGTAGGGGTAGTGATAGGGGTAGTGGTAGGGGTAGTGGTAGGGGTAGTGGTAGGGGTAGTGATAGGGGTAGTGATAGGGGTAGTGATAGGGGTAGTGATAGGGGTGGTGATAGGGGTGGTGATAGGGGTGGTGATAGGGGTAGTGATAGGGGTAGGTGATAGGGGTGGTGATAGGGGTGGTGATAGGGGTGGTGATAGGGGTAGTGATAGGGGTAGTGATAGGGGTAGTGATAGGGGTAGTGATAGGGGTGGTGATAGGGGTAGTGATAGGGACAGTAGTAGGGGCAGTGCTAGGGGTAGTGATAGGGGTAGTGATAGGGGTAGTGGTAGGGGTAGTGATAGGGGCAGTGATAGGGGCAGTGATAGGGGCAGTGATAGGGGTAGTGATAGGGGTAGTGAGAGGAGTAGTGATAGGGGCAGTGATAGGGGTAGTGATAGGGGCAGTGATAGTGGCAGTGATAGGGGTAGTGAGAGGAGTAGTGATAGGGGTAGTGGTAGGGGTAGTGATAGGGGCAGTGATAGGGGCAGTGGTAGGGGTAGTGATAGGGACAGTAGTAGGGGTAGTGATAGGGGTAGTGATAGGGGCAGTGATAGGGGCAGTGATAGGGGCAGTGATAGGGGCAGTGATAGGGGCAGTGATAGGGGTAGTGATAGGGGTAGGATAGGGGTAGTGGTAGGGGTAGTGGTAGGGGCAGTGATAGGGGCAGTGCATAGGGGCAGTGGTAGGGGTAGTGATAGGGGTAGTGATAGGGGCAGTGATAGGGGCAGTGATAGGGGCAGTGATAGGGGTAGTGGTAGGGGTAGTGGTAGGGGTAGTGATAGGGGTAGTGATAGGGGTAGTGGTAGGGGTAGTGATAGGGGCAGTGATAGGGGCAGTGATAGGGGCAGTGGTAGGGGTAGTGGTAGGGGTAGTGATAGGGGCAGTGATGGTGGCAGTGATGGGGGTAGTGATGGGGGTAGTGATGGGGGTAGTGGTGGGGGTAGTGGTGGGGGTAGTGGTGGGGGTAGTGATGGGGTAGTGGTGGGGGTAGTGGTGGGGGTAGTGATAGGGGTAGTAATAGGTTTGGGGTAGTGGTAGGGATAGTGATAGGGGTAGTGATGGGGGTAGTGATAGGGGTAGTGGGTAGGGTAGTGATAGGGGTAGTGATAGGGGTAGTGATCGGGGTAGTGGATAGGGGTAGTGGTAGGGTAGTGGTAGGTGATATAGGTAGTGATAGGGGCAGTGATAGGGGTAGTGGTAGGGGTAGTGATAGGGGTAGTGATAGGGGTAGTGATAGGGGCAGTGATAGGGGCAGTGATAGGGGCAGTGATAGGGGCAGTGGTAGGGGTAGTGGTAGGGGTAGTGGTAGGGGTAGTGATAGGGGCAGTGATAGGGGCAGTGATAGGGGTAGTGATAGGGTAGTGGTAGGGGTAGTGGTAGGGGTAGATAGGTAGTGATAGGGTAGTGATAGGGTATGATAGGGGCAGTGATAGGGGCAGTGATAGGGGCAGTGGTAGGGGCAGTGGTAGGGGCAGTGGTAGAGGCAGTGATAGGGGCAGTGATAGGGGTAGTGATAGGGGCAGTGATAGGGGCAGTGTGAGGGGTAGTGATAGGGGCAGTGATGGAGGTTGGGGCAGTGATAGGAGTAGTGATAGGGGTAGTGATAGGGGTAGGCCTTTTCATACCTGGGGAGCAGGGAGAAGCCAGCAGTAGCAGCAGGATGGTGACGACGATGACGACGATATTGATGATGATCTTGACGATGTTGGACTCGGGGAGAAGAGATGTGGGTTGATTTTAATGACGGAACGGAGGCAGGTGAGTGAATAAGATTGTTTTACATGCCCAGTACGGTGTTTACCCCCCCCCCTCCTGCCCCCCCCCCCCGCTCCGCTCCCAGCCCCCCACTGCCCCCCCTTCGCCACTGTTAGGAGGCTTTGCTCCCTTGTGATGGGCGGAGGGCCGATGGGACGGGGGCGGCATGACGAACGATGTCCATTGTGCGCTCTTTGCCGCGGGAGTAACAACGGTAATTGGATCTGCTCGCTGGATGTGAATGAACCCATTATGAAAAGAGCACAAATTGTATTTACCCCGGCTCATTATAATGCCCGACATTAATGGCGTTGGGCCCCCCCGCCTTGAACGAGGCGAAGACAAAGATGCCCCGTGTAGCCTGTGACGGACTGTCAGGGCAAGTGCTGTTAGCGAGCGGCGCTCTACGAAGGCCGGCCAGGACCACGTCCGGCCGCCTTTGTCTCCCCAGTGGCGATGTTCGCACACCGCACCAGGTCCTCATTTGAGGCTGAGTCGAGTTCAAGTTCATTGATTAGGTATAGCCCTGTGAGCCATTCGGCTCTTGAATCGGGTGCAACCGCAACAAACAGAAAACAAAAACACGAACAAAAAAACATCTTTAAGTGAATATGTGACCGAGTGCAAACAGAAAATCCAAGAAAAGACAGCAAAATATTGCAGAGTCGACCTAGGGGAGGCCCAGGACCGGTTCAGATAATCGTCACCGGTGTTGGCCGTGAGCGGGAATCGAACTCGGGTTCGTAGCGCAGCGTAGCGCTAACCGCTGCTACCACCGCTCCCCACCCAACACACACGCACAAAGACAAAGATCCCCCGTGTAGCCTCCAACAAACTGTGGGGGCAAGTGCCGTTAACGAGCAGCAGCAACGAAGGCCGTCACGGCACCGCCCCCGGCCGCCTTTGTCTCCCCGATGCCTACGTTTACACGCCGCACCAGGTGCTCGTTTGAGGCCGAGTCTACCTAGGCGAGGTCAACCTCGGACCGAGGTCGCTGATGCTGAGCGTTCGTAGCGCAGTGCGCTAACCCCCCCGCACGCTCGTTCGTGTCACGTACAGCCCTTGGGGGGGCAATCCACTGCTGGATGATGTCCACCCCATGCTCCATCTATGTCGCATACACAGGCACCGCTGCTGCTGCTACTGCTGCTATCCAGGCTCGAGCCGGCTTAGCTTGCGAGACCTGGCGAGTGTTTTTTCTCGTCGTCGTCGATGATTTGCTTTGGCGGTGAGCCCCCCCCCCCCCCGCAACACCTCCGCTTACCAAAATAACCCCGCGGAATGAGAAGAATGATCGCGTGGAGTGCACTCGCACGCCCACTCATGCAGCAACGCCCCGCCTCCCTCCCCTCCCTCCACTCCCTCTCTGTCTCCCTCCCCTCCCCTGTCTGCCTCTCTCCGCTCCCTCCCTGCCTCCGCTCTCTTCCTCCACTCCCTGCCTCCCTCCCCTCCCTCCCTCCCCTCCCTCCCCTCCCTCCCTGCCTCCCCTCCCTCCCCTCCCTCCCCTCCCTCCCCTGCCTCCCCTCCCTCCCCTCCCTCCCCTCCCTCCCCTCCCTCCCTGCCTCCCCTCCCTCCCCTCCCTCCCCTCCCTCCCCTCCCTCCCCTCCCTCCCCTCCCTCCCCTCCCTCCCCTCCCTCCCTCCCTGACTCCCTCCGCTCCCTCCCTCCCTGCCTCCGCTCTCTGCCTCCCTCCCTCCCCTCCCTCCCTGCCTCCCTCCCCTCCCTCCCATCCCTCCATCCCTCCTCTCCCCTCTCTCTGTCCCACTCCCCCCTTTCCACCTCCCTCGATTGCATATAAAGTGGCTCCTAATACGCTCGCGCAAGCGACAGCAGCAGGAGAGACGGTAGCAGCACACGGAGATGGAGCGCGACGGATTCTAGACGGGTTCTAGACGGTTCTGAACGGGTCTAGACACTGGTCTAGACGGGTCTAGACACTGGTCTAGACCGGTGTCTAGACGGTTCTAGACACTGGTCTAGACGGGTCTAGACACTGGTCTAGACCGGTGTCTAGACGGTTCTAGACACTGGTCTAGACGGGTCTAGACACTGGTCTAGACCGGTGTCTAGACGGTTCTAGACACTGGTCTAGACGGGTCTAGACACTGGTCTAGACCGGTGTCTAGACGGTTCTAGACACTGGTCTAGACGGGTCTAGACACTGGTCTAGACCGGTCTAGACTGATCTTGGCAAGACGGCTCCGATGCAGCGTCCGCCTGCTCTGCAATGCGGTCCGCCTGAATCAGAATCCGAAGATATTTATAATCATACTTCGAGGGACTCCGACGTCTCAACGAATTCCAAGCGTGGCCTTGGTCGTGCGATGAGACACTTATTTGGCAAATTTAAAAAACCCGCTCCTGTCCGCCCGCCTCTCATACCTTCGCCAACCGGCAAACGAATCACCATCCCGACCAGCATGGCGAGAAGAGAGGAGGTCTTCATCAAAAGTCCGTGATAATAATTCGTGGTTTTATCTTTCACCTCCCAACCGGCTCGGCGTTGAGCGGCGAGCGGCTTGCGGTGGAGAGAGGTCGAGATTTCAAACCCTGGAAACTCGCCTGATGTTGTCGTTGTTGTTGCTGCAATCACCGGCGAAACGTCACGATTACTCACATTGTAAATATTTCGGGTTTACTCTCCCATCACACCGGTGGTGCTCAAGTAGTAGCTATCCATAATAGGGGAGGGGGTGGCTAGATCGTGTAAATATAAATGTGTCGTTAAACCCGCCACCGCCCGACACAGCCAGTTAGTAAGGGGTTTGTCATGTAAACAGACGTGCTGATTAGTTACTAGTAGAACACACACCGGTGTGTGTTGAACTAGCACACTACACTATACACTACACTATACACTACACTATACACTACACTATACACTACACTATACACTACACTATACTCTGCACTATACACTACACTATACACTACTACACTATACACTACACTTTACACTACACTATACACTACACTATACACTACACTACACACTACACTATATACTACACTATATACTACACTATACACTACACTATACACTACACTATACACTACACTATACACTACACTATACACTACACTATACACTACACTATACACTACTACACTATACACTACTACACTATACACTACACTATACACTACACACTACACTATACACTACACTATACACTACACTATACACTACTACACTATACACTACACTATACACTACTACACTATACACTACTACACTATACACTACTACACTATACACTACACTATACACTACACTATACACTACACTATACACTACACTACACTATACACTACACTATACACTACACTATACACTATACACTACACTATACACTACACTATACACTACACTATACACTGCACTATACACTGCACTATACACTATACTATACACTACACTATACACTACACTATACACTACACTATACACTACACTATACACTACTATACACTACACTATACACTATACTATACACTGCACTACACACTGCACTATACACTCCACTATAATTGTAAATGTTGTAGTGGGTTTACTCTCCAACACACAACCGGTGTATGCTGAACTAGTATACTACACTATACACTACACTACACGCTACACTACACGCTACACTACACACTACACTATACACTACACTATACACTACACTATACACTACAATTGTAAATGTTGTAGTGGGTTTACTCTCCAACACACAACCGGTGTGTGCTGAACTAGTATACTACACTACACACTACACTACACGCTACACCACACGCTACACTAAACTATATACTACACTATACACTACACTATACACTACACTATACACTACACACTACAATTGTAAATGTTGTAGTGGGTTTACTCTCCAGCACACAACCGGTGTGTGTGCTGGACTAGTAACGAATTGGCCACATGTTGTTTACGTGACAAACGCTTGCTAATTGGCTGTCGGGCGGTGGCGGGTTTAACGACACCTTCACATTCACGTGAACTAACCCAAAAAAACCTCTTCTCAGCAGCCTGCATCATTGAATGTTTCGTTTTAAATCCACGCAGTTCAAGTAGAGATGGTGGTATTGTAGTGGCATCGTAGTTTGACTCCTGCTCAGGGCCAACACCGGTGACAATTATCTGAACCGACGCTGGGCCTCCCCTAGGTAGACTCAGCCTTAAATGAGTACCTGGTGCGCTGTGTAAACTTCGCCACTGGGAGAGACAAAGGCAAGCCGGTCGTGGTGCTGGCCACCCACCCCCTCGTGTTACCGCGCCAGCCTTCACAGATAATTGTTTCATTGGTTTCATGGCTTTATTTTGGTGATTTTGAAAAGTGTATTGGTTTAGCCATGTTTGTTTGTTGTAGTACAGAGTTAGACCGATGGCCTTAATCTAAGTTGTCTTGTGGTTGTTGTTGGTTGTTTGACTTGCATCCCACTGGGATTTTTGCACACAGCGTTGGTGTACGGTGTTTTTTTCTGCAATATTTTGCTGTCTTTTCTTGGATTTTCTGTTTGCACTTAGTCACATAGTCACTTTAAGATGTTTCTTGTTCATGTTTTTGTTTTTTGTTTGTTGCGGTTGCACCCGATTCAAGAGCCGAATGGCTCACAGAGCTATACCTAATAAATGAACTTGAACTTGAACCCCCTTTGCCTCTGTGCGCGCGCGCGCAGGTGATGCTGGCAGAGCGCAAGGGCACGGACGAGCTGTACGCGATCAAGATCCTCAAGAAGGACGTGGTCATCCAGGATGACGACGTGGAGTGCACCATGGTGGAGAAGCGCGTGCTGGCGCTCGCCGAAAAGCCGCCCTTCCTCACCCAGCTGCACTCCTGCTTCCAGACCATGGTGGGTGCGGGCGGGCGGGCGGGCGGGCAGGCGGGTGAGGAGGTGGGCGAGCGGGCAGGCGGGTGAGCAGGTGGGCGAGTGGACAGGTGTGTGAGCAGGCGAGCGGGCAGGCGGGCGGGTAGGGCAAGCGGGCAGGTAAGCGAGCGAGCGAGTAGGTGGTTGAGTGGGGGGGGGCGAGCGGGCAAGTGGGTGAGCGAGCATGCAGGTGGGTGATCAGGCGAGTGGGCAAGTGGGTGAGCGAGCGGGTGGGTGAGGAGGTGGGCGAACGGGCAGGTGGGCAGGCGGGCGAGCGGGCGAGCAAGCGGGCGGGCGGGTGGGTGAGCAGGTGGGCGAGTGGGCAGGTGGGTGAGCAGGCGGGCGGGCGGGCGGGCGGGCGGGTGGGTAAGCGGGCAGGTAAGCGAGCGGGCGAGTAGGTGGTTGAGTGGGGGGCGGGCGAGCGGGCAAGTGGGTGAGCGAGCGGGCGGGCGGGTGGGTGGGTGGGCACGCCACCGTGTCTCTGTGTGGGGAGCGATCGCACAGCGGTTAAGCGCTGCTGCGCTACGACCCGGCAACCCGAGTTCGATTCCCGCTCATGTACCAATACCGGTGGCGAATAGCTAACCCGGTCCAGGGCCTTGGCCTAGACCAGGGGTCGGCAACCTACGGCTCCGGAGCCGCATGCGGCTCTTTACGGGCTGCTTCTTGACGATATGTACAGTATGTACAGTATGTACTCAGATGCATTGCGGCTCTTGAAATACTGAATTTTGTACCGAATTGTAAAGAAATGGCTCTTCTTGTTATTTTGGTTGCCGACCCCTGGCCTAGACCAACTAGGCTTTGAACGAGTCCCTGGTGTGCGGTGTGCGTAGTCAACATCGCCACTAGGGAGACAAAGGCGGCCTGGCGTGGTGCTTGGCCACCCAAACCCCACCTCGTGTGCCGTTCCGGCCTTCACAGACACCACAGATACTTGTGGTGTTTGAGACTAGGCTCTCAAGAAAGCTGTCTCTGGTGTGGACCAATCAGTTTCAAAGACAATGCATATTTTATCAGAGTATGTGTTTTTTGTTTGCATTCTGACCACAAGCATTGTGGTGAATGCAGACGTGATTCCTTGCAAAAGGTTTCAGTTTGGTGTTATAACATCTTAACACAGCTGTTTTGTTGCCGTAAAAAAGGGGGAAAACCCCTATTCTCATGTTCCCTGGGCATTCAGAAGGTAAAGAGAGAGAGAGACCGTTCTTTGCACTCGGTGGCAGAGAGGAGATGATGAGAGGGACAGGAGGTATGTGTGCTCTCCCCACCTCCGCATCGCCTGTCTCTCTGCGTGGCGCGCATCGCCTATCACGTGCCACGCCGCGTGCCGTGCCGCGTGCCACGCCGCTCTAACTGGGGGCTGTGACACCTTTCAACGCGCCGCTGACGGGACGGCGACAGGGCACGCCGTGGGTTTCCCCACGCGTGGACACACGTGGACACGCGGCTTTTGTTGAGCCGTCATTTGCGGCGGCCCAGGTCGCTTGTGGAAATGACAAGTTAATGCCTGTGTAATGCGAGCGTAAATGGGGTTGTTGCTGGACTCTGGCCCAATCACACAGCCCGAGGTATTGGGGGGCGGAGCCTGGTCTGCGGGGCGTGTGGGAGGGGCCACCGTTCACCTCGGCTCCAATGGGAGACCCATAGACTCACACAGAGACCCATAGACTCACACAGAGACCCATAGACTCACACAGAGACACATAGACTCACACAGAGACACATAGACTAACATAGAGACCCATAGACTCACACAGAGACCCATAGACTCAGAGACACATAGACTCACACAGAGACACATAGACTCACACAGAGACACATAGACTCACACAGAGACACATAGACTAACATAGAGACCCATAGACTCACACAGAGACCCATAGACTCAGAGACACATAGACTCACACAGAGACCCATAGACTCACACAGAGACACATAGACTCACACAGAGACACATAGACTAACATAGAGACCCATAGACTCACACAGAAACCCATAGACTCAGAGACACATAGACTCACACAGAAACCCATAGACTCACACAGAAACCCATAGACTCACAGAAACCCATAGACTCAGAGACACATAGACTCACACAGAGACCTGTAGGCTCACACAGAGATCCATAGACTCACACAGTAATCTGTAGGCTCACATAGAGACCCATAGACACACACAGAGACCCATAGACTCACACAAAGACCCATAGACTCACACAGAGACCCATAGACTCACACAGAAACCCATAGACTCAGAGACACATAGACTCACACAGAGACCTGTAGGCTCACATAGAGACCCATAGACACACACAGAGACCCATAGACTCACACAGAGACCCATAGACTCAGAGATACAGACTCACACAGAGACCTGTAGGCTCACATAGAGACCCATAGACTCACACAGAGACCCATAGACTCACACAGAGACCCATAGACTCACACAGAGACCCGTAGACTCACACAGAGACCTGTAGGCTCACATAGAGACCCATAGACTCACACAGAGACCCATAGCTCACTACAGAGACCCATAGACTCACACAGAGACCCACAGACTCACACAGAGACCCATAGACTCACACAGAGACCTGTAGGCTCACATAGAGACCCATAGACACACACAGAGACCCATAGACTCACACAGAGACCCATAGACTCAGAGACACAGACTCACACAGAGACCTGTAGGTTCACATAGAGACCCATAGACACACACAGAGACCCATAGACTCACACAGAGACCCATAGACTCACACAGAGACCTGTAGGCGCACATAGAGACCCATAGACACACACAGAGACCCATAGACTCACACAAAGACCCATAGACTCAGACACAGACTCACACAGAGACCTGTAGGCTCACATAGAGACCCATAGACACACACAGAGACCCATAGACTCACACAGAGACCCATAGACTCACACAGAGACCTGTAGGCTCACATAGAGACCCATAGACACACACAGAGACCCATAGACTCATACAGAGACACAGAGACTCACACAGACACCCATGGACTCACACAGAGACCCATGGACTCACACAGAGACCCATGGACTCACACAGAGACCCATAGACTCAGAGACACATAGACTCACACAGAGACCTGTAGGCTCACATCGAGACCCATAGAAACACACAGAGACCCATAGACTCACACAGAGACCCATAGACTCACACTCACACAGAGACCCATAGACTCATACAGAGACCCACAGACTCACACAGAGACCCACAGACTCACACAGAGACCCACAGACTCGCACAGAGACCCATAGACTCGCACAGAGACCCATAGACTCACACAGAGACCCACAGACTCACACAGACCCATAGACTTATAGACATGTAGACTCACGCAGAGACCCATAGACTCACACAGAGACCCATAGACTCACTACAGAGACACATAGACTCAGAGACCCATAGACTCGCACAGAGAGCCATAGACTCGCACAGAGACCCATAGACTCACACAGAGACCCATAGACTCACACAGAGACCCATAGACTCACACAGAGACCCATAGACTCACACAGAGACCCATAGACTCAGAGACACATAGACTCACACAGAGACCCATAGACTCGCACAGAGAGCCATAGACTCACACAGAGAGCCATAGACTCACACAGAGACCTATAGACTCAGAGACACATAGACTCACACAGAGAGCCATAGACTCGCACAGAGAGCCATAGACTCACACAGAGAGCCATAGACACACAGAGAGCCATAGACTCGCACAGAGACCCACAATGAGTTGTCCTTCTCCCTGCATCTCCGATTAGCACGGTTGGCTCTGTATGGTGCGAAAGAAGTTCTACATACACGCATACATTGCCCATAGACTCACACTGCCCACAGAAGTACAACATACACACACATGCTGGGTGCAAATCTCGCGTGATGTCTCTAACCTGCGTGTGCTCTCTGATCCACAAATTGCATTCTCTCTCCCAGTGCAATCCTCTGGTGTTGGCCAATCGTTTTCAGAGACAATGCAAACATTGATCGGTGCACGTTTGTTTTCACAAGCAGGTGTGTCTAATGCAGACTTGATGCCCATGCAATAGATGCTTGAACATCTTAACACGTCCTGTTTTACTGCCCCAGCAGGTAAAAGCTATTCCTATAATGATGACGTTTGCTTGTGTCGTGATCAAAACGTCGTGATCTATTTTCTAACTACGTGATTTTACCGAAAGAACCAAAGAGTATGGATGCCTGCAGTCACGAAAGCTTCAAATCAAGATTTCTATTATAACGTTTTCATCATTTTCCGTAATCTAACGTTGTGCTGTCTTGCTGGCGCTGCGGTTGTTTGCATCGTCGCCTGTGTGTGTGTCTGTGTTTATGTGTGTGTCTGTGTGTGTATATGTGTGTGTGTGTCTAAATGAGTACCTGGTGCATTGTGTAAACATCGCCACTAGGGAGACAAACGCGGTCGGGCGTGGTGCTGGCCACTCACCCCCCCCCCCCCCTCGTGTGCCTTGCCGGCCATCATAGGTACCGCTCGCTAACAGCACTTGCCCCAACAGTCTGTTACAGGCTATACGGGGGATCTTTGTCTTTGTGTGCGCAGGACCGCCTGTACTTCGTGATGGAGTACGTGAACGGGGGTGATCTCATGTACCAGATACAGCAGGTCGGGCGCTTCAAGGAGCCGCACACCGTGTAAGTGTTCCCACGGACACCATCCATCGTCCCGTTCATGACGAAGCCCCATCATCTCCCTCCCCGTGTCCCTCGGTCCCTCTGGCTCTCTCTACGGCTGGCGTGGCCTTCCTCCCTTCTTCCCTTACATTCGGCTCTGGCAGTGTCGGTCTATGGGCAATGTCAGTCTACGGGCAGTGTTAGTCTATGGGCAGTGTTAGTCTATGGGCAGTGTTAGTCTATGGGCAGTGTGAGTCTATGGGCAGTGTGAGTCTATGGGCAGTGTGAGTCTACGGGCAGTGTTAGTCTATGGGCAGTGTTAGTCTATGGGTAGTGTTAGTCTATGGGTAGTGTTAGTCTACGGGCAGTGTTAGTCTATGGGCAGTGTTAGTCTATGGGCAGTGTTAGTCTGTGGGCAATGTTAGTCTATGGGTAGTGTTAGTCTATGGGCAGTGTTAGTCTATGGGCAGTGTTAGTCTATGGGTAGTGTTAGTCTATGGACAGTGTTAATCTATGGACAATGTAAGTCTATGGGAAGTGTTAGTCTATGTGCAGTGTTAGTCTATGGGCAGTGTTGAGTCTATGGGCAATGTCAGTCTATGGGAAGTGTTAATCTATGGACAATGTGAGTCAATGGGCAGTGTTGTTCTTCGTGCCGATCACACCACCCCCGTCATGCACTGCTCACGGCACTTGCGCGGGCCCCCTTACAGTCTGTGACAGCTCTGGTGGGTAGGTGGTTGAGTGGGTGAGTGGGTGAGTGGCTGGGTGGGTGAGTGGCTGGGTGGGTGAGTGGCTGGGTGGGTGAGTGGCTGGCTGGGTGAGTGTCTGGCTGGGTGAGTGTCTGGGTGAGTGGCTGGCTGGGTGAGTGGGTGGCTGGGTGAGTGGGTGGCTGGGTGAGTGGCTGGGTGGGTGAGTGGGTGGCTGAGTGGCTGGGTGAGTGGGTGGCTGGGTGAGTGGGTGGCTGAGTGGCTGGGTGAGTGGGTGGGTGGGTGAGTGGGTGGCTGAGTGGCTGGGTGAGTGGCTGGGTGGGTGAGTGGGTGGCTGAGTGGCTGGGTGAGTGGCTGGGTGGGTGAGTGGGTGGCTGAGTGGCTGGGTGAGTGGGTGGCTGGGTGAGTGGGTGGCTGGGTGAGTGGCTGGGTGGGTGAGTGGGTGGCTGAGTGGCTGGGTGAGTGGGTGTCTGGGTGAGTGGGTGGCTGGGTGAGTGACTGGCTGGGTGGGTGAGTGGCCCTCTGTTACTCCCTCTCTAGGTTTTATGCCGGAGAGATCGCCGTGGGCCTCTTCTTCCTGCACACCAAAGGAATCATTTACAGGTGAGTGGCTTCAGCGCCTCGCATGGGGGGGTGGGTGGGGGGGGGGGGCGGGGTGGGGGGGGGCGGGGGTGGGGTGGGGGGGTAGGATGGGTGGAACAGCGACGACGACTTTCGCTGTTAAGGCCAAGCGCCGGCAAGGGCGAGCAAAATCTCGGCTGACGAAGACTCCAGACCTGAGACTTCTTAAGAATCTGGACCGTGTTCGGCCTCGCCTCAACAGACCCTACGGGAGGGGGGTGGGGAATCTTTGTCTTTGGTGGGTGGATGGGGGGGGCGGCGGGGTTCGCTGACTTTGCAGCACTTGCCCCAACAGTTTGTTAAGGTTGTATGGGGGATCTTTGGCTTTGGCGGGTGGGTGGGAGGGGGTCACTAACAGCACTTGCCCCAACAGTCTGTTAAGGCTACACGAGGGATCTTTGGCTTTGGCGGGTGGGTGGGAGGGGGTCACTAACAGCACTTGCCCCAACAGTCTGTTAAGGCTACACGAGGGATCTTTGTCTTTGGTGGGTGGGGTGTCGCTAACAGCACTTGCCCCAACACTCTGTTGAGGCTACACGGGGAGGATGGGGGATGACCTTTGTCTTTGTCTGGGCCGGGCTGGGGATGACACAGAGACCTGAAGCTGGACAACGTGATGCTGGACGCAGAGGGGCATATCAAGATCGCCGACTTCGGCATGTGCAAGGAGAACATGTGGGAGGCGATGACGACTCGCACCTTCTGCGGCACGCCCGACTACATCGCGCCCGAGGTGAGCGGCGGTGGGGGGAGGGGGACGCGGCTCGGGCGAGGGGTCCCGGTGCGAAACGACGGACGTATCCCCACCCCCACCCTACTCGGCCCCACTCGGCCCTACTCGTGGAGGCGGATTCTTTCACTCGATCGAGGATTGGGGGGTTCGTGGTTGAGAGTCTGGTGGTGTTTCGATTTAAATCTTTCGTGACTTGCAGGGATTCATCTTCTTGGTTCTTTCGGTAAAGTCACGTAGAAGGGAAATAATAAAAATAAAACATAATAAAATAATTCTCACGACGTTTCGGCCACAACGCAAGCAGCCGTCCTCAGGTGAAGAACAGGTCTGTCGGAAAGACAGCGTCTGAATGGACATAATAAGACAGTGTTTGAATGGACACTGTCTTTCCGACAGACCTGTTTTTCACCTGAGGACGGCTGCTTGCGTTGTGGCCGAAACGTCGTGAGAATTGTATTTTATTATGTTTTACTTGTATTATTTTATTATTTCCCTTCTACGTCACTTTACCGAAAGAACCAAGAAGTCTGGTCGTGGCTGAGAGTCGGGTTCCTGGTTGAGAGTGTGGTAGTGGTTGAAAGTATGGTGGTGGTTGAGAGTGTGGTGGTGGTTGAGAGTGTGGTGGTGGTGGTGGATAGTCTGGTAATGGTGGATAGTCTGGTCGTGGTTGAGAGTGTGGTGGTAGTTGAGAGTGTGGTAATGGTGGATAGTCTGGTAATGGTCGATAGTCTGGTCATGGTTGAGAGTGTGGTGGTGGTTGAGAGTGTGGTGATGGTGGAGAGTCTGGTCGTGGTTGAGAGTGTGGTGGTGGTTGAGAGTGTGGTGGTGGTGGATAGTTTGGTAATGGTTGATAGTCTGGTCATGGTTGAGAGTGTGGTGGTAGTTGAGAGTGTTGTGGTGGTTGAGAGTGTGGTGGTGGTGGATAGTCTGGTCGTGGTTGAGAGTGTGGTGATGGTGGATAGTCTGGTCGTGGTTGAGAGTGTGGTGATGGTGGATAGTCTGGTCATGGTTGAGAGTGTGGTGGTGGTTGAGAGTGTGGTGGTGGTTGAGAGTGTGGTGATGGTGGAGAGTCTGGTCGTGGTTGAGAGTGTGGTGGTGGTTGAGAGTGTGGTGGTGGTGGATAGTTTGGTAATGGTTGATAGTCTGGTCATGGTTGAGAGTGTGGTGGTGGTTGAGAGTGTTGTGGTGGTTGAGAGTGTGGTGGTGGTGGATAGTCTGGTCGTGGTTGAGAGTGTGGTGATGGTGGATAGTCTGGTCGTGGTTGAGAGTGTGGTGATGGTGGATAGTCTGGTCATGGTTGAGAGTGTGGTGGTGGTTGAGAGTGTGGTGGTGGTTGAGAGTGTGGTGATGGTGGAGAGTCTGGTCGTGGTTGAGAGTGTGGTGGTGGTTGAGAGTGTGGTGGTGGTGGATAGTTTGGTAATGGTTGATAGTCTGGTCATGGTTGAGAGTGTGGTGGTAGTTGAGAGTGTTGTGGTGGTTGAGAGTGTGGTGGTAGTTGAGAGTGTTGTGGTGGTTGAGAGTGTGGTGGTGGTGGATAGTCTGGTCGTGGTTGAGAGTGTGGTGATGGTGGATAGTCTGGTCGTGGTTGAGAGTGTGGTGATGGTGGATAGTCTGGTCATGGTTGAGAGTGTGGTGGTGGTTGAGAGTGTGGTGGTGGTTGAGAGTGTGGTGATGGTGGAGAGTCTGGTCGTGGTTGAGAGTGTGGTGGTGGTTGAGAGTGTGGTGGTGGTGGATAGTTTGGTAATGGTTGATAGTCTGGTCATGGTTGAGAGTGTGGTGGTGGTTGAGAGTGTTGTGGTGGTTGAGAGTGTGGTGGTGGTGGATAGTCTGGTCGTGGTTGAGAGTGTGGTGATGGTGGATAGTCTGGTCGTGGTTGAGAGTGTGGTGATGGTGGATAGTCTGGTCATGGTTGAGAGTGTGGTGGTGGTTGAGAGTGTGGTGGTGGTTGAGAGTGTGGTGATGGTGGAGAGTCTGGTCGTGGTTGAGAGTGTGGTGGTGGTTGAGAGTGTGGTGGTGGTGGATAGTTTGGTAATGGTTGATAGTCTGGTCATGGTTGAGAGTGTGGTGGTGGTTGAGAGTGTTGTGGTGGTTGAGAGTGTGGTGGTGGTGGATAGTCTGGTCGTGGTTGAGAGTGTGGTGATGGTGGATAGTCTGGTCGTGGTTGAGAGTGTGGTGATGGTGGATAGTCTGGTCATGGTTGAGAGTGTGGTGGTGGTTGAGAGTGTGGTGGTGGTTGAGAGTGTGGTGATGGTGGAGAGTCTGGTCGTGGTTGAGAGTGTGGTGGTGGTTGAGAGTGTGGTGGTGGTGGATAGTTTGGTAATGGTTGATAGTCTGGTCATGGTTGAGAGTGTGGTGGTAGTTGAGAGTGTTGTGGTGGTTGAGAGTGTGGTGGTGGTGGATAGTCTGGTCGTGGTTGAGAGTGTGGTGATGGTGGATAGTCTGGTCGTGGTTGAGAGTGTGGTGATGGTGGATAGTCTGGTCGTGGTTGAGAGTGTGGTGATGGTGGATAGTCTGGTCGTGGTTGAGAGTGTGGTGATGGTGGATAGTCTGGTCATGGTTGAGAGTGTGGTGGTGGTTGAGAGTGTGGTGGTGGTTGAGAGTGTGGTGATGGTGGAGAGTCTGGTCGTGGTTGAGAGTGTGGTGGTGGTTGAGAGTGTGGTGGTGGTGGATAGTTTGGTAATGGTTGATAGTCTGGTCATGGTTGAGAGTGTGGTGGTGGTTGAGAGTGTTGTGGTGGTTGAGAGTGTGGTGGTGGTGGATAGTCTGGTCGTGGTTGAGAGTGTGGTGATGGTGGATAGTCTGGTCGTGGTTGAGAGTGTGGTGATGGTGGATAGTCTGGTCATGGTTGAGAGTGTGGTGGTGGTTGAGAGTGTGGTGGTGGTTGAGAGTGTGGTGATGGTGGAGAGTCTGGTCGTGGTTGAGAGTGTGGTGGTGGTTGAGAGTGTGGTGGTGGTGGATAGTTTGGTAATGGTTGATAGTCTGGTCATGGTTGAGAGTGTGGTGGTAGTTGAGAGTGTTGTGGTGGTTGAGAGTGTGGTGGTAGTTGAGAGTGTTGTGGTGGTTGAGAGTGTGGTGGTGGTGGATAGTCTGGTCGTGGTTGAGAGTGTGGTGATGGTGGATAGTCTGGTCGTGGTTGAGAGTGTGGTGATGGTGGATAGTCTGGTCATGGTTGAGAGTGTGGTGGTGGTTGAGAGTGTGGTGGTGGTTGAGAGTGTGGTGATGGTGGAGAGTCTGGTCGTGGTTGAGAGTGTGGTGGTGGTTGAGAGTGTGGTGGTGGTGGATAGTTTGGTAATGGTTGATAGTCTGGTCATGGTTGAGAGTGTGGTGGTGGTTGAGAGTGTTGTGGTGGTTGAGAGTGTGGTGGTGGTGGATAGTCTGGTCGTGGTTGAGAGTGTGGTGATGGTGGATAGTCTGGTCGTGGTTGAGAGTGTGGTGATGGTGGATAGTCTGGTCATGGTTGAGAGTGTGGTGGTGGTTGAGAGTGTGGTGGTGGTTGAGAGTGTGGTGATGGTGGAGAGTCTGGTCGTGGTTGAGAGTGTGGTGGTGGTTGAGAGTGTGGTGGTGGTGGATAGTTTGGTAATGGTTGATAGTCTGGTCATGGTTGAGAGTGTGGTGGTGGTTGAGAGTGTTGTGGTGGTTGAGAGTGTGGTGGTGGTGGATAGTCTGGTCGTGGTTGAGAGTGTGGTGATGGTGGATAGTCTGGTCGTGGTTGAGAGTGTGGTGATGGTGGATAGTCTGGTCATGGTTGAGAGTGTGGTGGTGGTTGAGAGTGTGGTGGTGGTTGAGAGTGTGGTGATGGTGGAGAGTCTGGTCGTGGTTGAGAGTGTGGTGGTGGTTGAGAGTGTGGTGGTGGTGGATAGTTTGGTAATGGTTGATAGTCTGGTCATGGTTGAGAGTGTGGTGGTAGTTGAGAGTGTTGTGGTGGTTGAGAGTGTGGTGGTGGTGGATAGTCTGGTCGTGGTTGAGAGTGTGGTGATGGTGGATAGTCTGGTCGTGGTTGAGAGTGTGGTGATGGTGGATAGTCTGGTCGTGGTTGAGAGTGTGGTGATGGTGGATAGTCTGGTCGTGGTTGAGAGTGTGGTGATGGTGGATAGTCTGGTCATGGTTGAGAGTGTGGTGGTGGTTGAGAGTGTGGTGGTGGTTGAGAGTGTGGTGATGGTGGAGAGTCTGGTCGTGGTTGAGAGTGTGGTGGTGGTTGAGAGTGTGGTGGTGGTGGATAGTTTGGTAATGGTTGATAGTCTGGTCATGGTTGAGAGTGTGGTGGTGGTTGAGAGTGTTGTGGTGGTTGAGAGTGTGGTGGTGGTGGATAGTCTGGTCGTGGTTGAGAGTGTGGTGATGGTGGATAGTCTGGTCGTGGTTGAGAGTGTGGTGATGGTGGATAGTCTGGTCGTGGTTGAGAGTGTGGTGATGGTGGATAGTCTGGTCGTGGTTGAGAGTGTGGTGATGGTGGATAGTCTGGTCGTGGTTGAGAGTGTGGTGATGGTGGATAGTCTGGTCGTGGTTGAGAGTGTGGTGATGGTGGATAGTCTGGTAATGGTGGAGAGTCTGGTGATGGTTGACAGTTGGGTTCCTGGTTGAGAGTGTGGCCTTAAAAGGAACAAACACAAAAGCCGACATTTTGGACAATGCCCTTGCTGTGTCGCACACAAATGACCCAGACCGGCAGCCTTCATGTGCCATGAGGAAGCGCCATTGCCTCAAATGTCACCTTTCATTATTATTAATTTTCCACCTTTTCTTTTTTTAAAGGCCACACACAGTTTTTATGTTTTTTATTCGGGGAGATCCTGCGGTGGCGAGGTGACGCTCACCTCCCTTCTCGCCTGCTCTACGCAGCAAGGTCGTGCGGGGTTCGATCGCGGACTCTGGCGGTCGATGCATGTTGTTGTTGTTGTACATTTGGAGTCCGCGTGGCTGCCCCCCCCCCCCCCTTCTCTTTCTCTCTCTCTCTCCCCGGGAGGGTCGTGGCGTGGATCATTCTCCCCGTTCCCCGCGGTTCT